CTCTGACGTGTAGCCGATCTTGTCTTCATCATTATTGTTTGATGCTTATTTTTTTGATTGTAATGCGAGAGAGTGCATCAGTTATATAGTTGTATTTGCCTTGCAATTGTCATCTTCCTTGCGGAGTCGTTGTTTGTATTGGAGCTCTTCTATTGTTTCTTGAAAAGCGATGGCACTAACGTCGTAACCGAATTGAATTGGGTGGGTTTATTCATGTGTCAAAGGCGTGAAGAATGATTGAGTGGGTGGTTGGCCGTGGACGATGGCTTCGCCTTCGGGATTGATCATTTTGGTTATAAAATTTCACTTAAAGAAGAGTTGCAAATAGTATATTTGCTTAAAGGATTATTTTTCACTGTAATTTTATAGAGGATTTTACGTATTGTGCAGTTCTTTTTACCTCTTTCTGTCTTGCTCTCCATAGGTACATATTGTTTTTTTTTTTACCTTTTACAATTTTATGCCTAATTTTCGATTTTTTTTTTTTTTGGTTAACGCAAATAGTTGCTTGACGCGATCTACTTAGTGTTTATTTTTATTTTTACGTGACTAATATGTGTAAGTTTTAATGTAAAACAATCTTATTTTGGCTTTAAAGTGTCTCTTAAATAAAACACTACTAACTTCTTAAAGTATCTGTTATTCTTTTGCAAATAACAGTTTTGGTTCACTATACTGTTACGAAAATGCTATATGTTTTGAAAATTTGGCGGAAAAAAGGATTAAATTAAAATGTCATGAGGTATTGGTGACACTTTTGCAATATTAATTGCTTCGGAAAAGGATTTTGGTTGGTCCGCGAAGATAGTGTGTTTAATGTAGTCGTCGAGACCGTTTATGAATATGGTTAAGGCGTACGTATCGTTGATATTGGTAATGACAGATTTTTGTTCGTTAGTCGGGTTGGGGCCGAGTTCTTTGATTTGAAAATTATTTAGATCTGCTATTATGTTTAATATTTTGTATTTGATACTTGTGATAGTAGCTTTTTGTGTTGTTTGGTTTAATATTGAATGTAGCTGTGGTATTGTTTGACTTGATTTATATTTATTTTCAAGTTTGGCTTTTAATTCTTGCAGTGTTGTTGGGACATCATTTGCAAGGGCGGTTTGAACATTTGAGGACAGTTTGCAGTACAAGGTGTATTCTATTAGTATCGGTTTGGCTTCTCCTTTAGGGTCTTATGTATTATTTCAACAACTTTTATGAAGCAGTTGATGTTTCTCTCTGTTTCTAGGTTTAAATCCATTTTTGGTTGTATTATACTTTCTATCTTGCTGGGGTTTATGTCTTCTAGAGATGCTTTGGTTGCTTCAATGTCTAATAATTCTTTTGCTGTTTTATATTTCTTCTTTAATGCTTGCATTTTGTTTAATAAATCTGGCTGTTCTGGTTTTGTATTAGTTTCTAATATAGTATGGACTCTTGGTCTATAATTTTCTAATTCTTCTAACTTGCTTTCAATTGTTTCTTTCTTATAGGTTCTGCTGCCTAGTTTTTTAAGGTTACAAATTATCTTATCTATGGAGATGTTAATTTCATCTATCCTCTCCATTAAGGAAGTAAAATTTTTTTTTATATAGTAAGACGTGTTAATTTTATTTTTGTTTTAACTATCTATATTTATTTGTTTGTATTTTTTTTTTTTTTTGTGGTTTTTCTATATCCCCTTATTAATTTTAATGTTTCTTAAATATGTTTCATATATTCTTTAATATTCTTTTTATTTTTCAAGTAATGGTCATTTTTATTTTAATATATTTTTTCTATATTCTTCATTTTAATATTCTTCGTATCTATCTAATCTTCTTAATTTTAATGTTTCCTATATGTTTTTCATATATATGTTTGTATTTTATATTTTATTTGTAAATTTTTATATTTTTCTTTTTTTTTCAATTCATATTTGTTTATTGTTGTTGGCTTTTCTGGCTTCGAACCATTTTTCTATTGTGTCTATCTATTTTTTTTAGAAATTTTCCTTTTCTTTTTTTTGGATGGGGATCTGGGTAAGCTGCTGTTCCTTTTTGGCGAGCCGTCTTTGCATGTATTTATTTATTTATTTATTTATTTATTTACTTATTTATTTTATTCCACTTATACTAGAAACTCAACTAAACAAATAACAGTCGAGTTCAATAGGCTCTTAATGCAAAACTAATATTAACTAACAATAAAATTGAGTATAAGCATAATAAAACAAATAAGAAGAAAAAAAAAAGAAAAAGAAAAAAAAGCATGTACACTATCAGCATAGGAGCACACTTACAACCGGTACAGGACCAAATTGCAAATGAACCCCTAAGCCTGCCAACCGATAATAAATTCACAATAATTCACTTTCGAAACGTAACGACTTTTTAAGGATAAAAGCTACTTTAAATACGACATAGGTAAATCGCGCGTATTAAGCAATGTTGCTTTAATGGACTTTAAAGAGTCCGATAACGAGAATAAGTGGTAGTCGTCATTTAGGTTCTTGCAAACGACTCTGAGCGGATTGAACAGTTCGTAATTATATTTGCATTGACTAAGCTTAACCAAGATAAAGTGCCTAGAAAAGCGGTTAGGGACATTAAAGCTTATTTCACCAAGTAATGAAGGCGAGTCAATAGCACCATTTATTACTTTAATTAGAAAGGAAACGCCAAGAACAAATGTACGTTCCTCGAGAGACAGTAGGGACAGCAGAAGCAACCTATTTTCATACGGAGGAAGAGAGGCAATCGGATCCCAACCCAAATTTCTAAGGGCAAACAGCAAGAATTGCTTTTGAACAGATTCAATTGAATCTACGTAGCACCTATATGAAGGAGACCACACAACTGAGGCATACTCGAGTATGGGTCTAACCAAACACATGTACAGCCTTTTCGTAATGTAGGGATCATCAAGCTCTTTGGACCACCTTTTTATAAAACCAAGCGCGGACCTAGCTTTGCTAATCGAGATTGCTGGATCGTTATTCTTTTTTGCGGCTTTCTGATGTCGTTTTATGAAAAAAGGTAGTTGTCCTAAAGGTGGCAAATTATGTGTGGTTTGCAGGTTAAATTTTTTTTTTTTTTTTTGCCTCAGAAAAATAAAGGCAGGTCACTGCATGGATTCCAAGATTATGTTGGGCAGGATCGCCGTATAATAAATTTAAAAAACCTTTGTATATGTACAATAATTTATTTATAAGAAGATTCCCTATGAATCTTTCCCAAGTGTGACCAATTTGGAGTTGTAGAATATTTCCTAAACTTCTCGGCTTCAGAACGCCAAGTCAATCTGCTTCTTTATGAAATACCAATCGAGATCGGCATGAAGCAGTCCCTATCTATGATATTAGGCGGATGGAACGCCTTTGAGCTTTTAGCGAATTAATACGCTTGTTGAATTGCTTTTAAACAATTGACTTGATTCAAATCGTACCTGGCTATTTATACACAAATTATTACACTAAATTATGCTAACATCATCAAAAATGATAATTGTTGTAAATGAAGCGCCTGGCATCGTATTGCAGTACGAAATGCAGTACTTAGCCAGGTGAAGTGTGACATAATTTTTATTTTTCTCTTAGCAAAAGAATTATGCTGAATTTGCATAATTTTGTCGCACTTCAAAGTGGATGCATATAACGGTGTGCGATCACATTACAGGGTATAAAACAGAATATTTGTGCAGGACGAACTCAGTTGAATCGTAAAATCCGAGCGAACGAATCATAAGCACTTTAAGTATAAGTTCCTGTAAACAAAAAGTAAATATTACTTCTAAGAATTACAAATAACATTTGCGCTGTTCACGATTTAGTGATACGAACCTTGTCACAAAGTAAAACAAGGAAAACCGTAAAAGTAGATCTTGTAACGAAGCTTTTCAAATGAATTTAACAAACAACATTAAATTTATTAATTAATTATTGTATAGTATCTATATTATATAGATCTGCGTGAGTATATCCTTTTGATTTCTTTTTGATTTAATGCTGATTCTATGCTGGTTTTCAAGGAAATTATTGAAGGTCTTTCACGTAAAAAATTTTCTACTCCATTTTTTTTTTTTTTTTTTTAAATTTCAAGTACTTGTGGTACGACCAGAGTCGCGTTTCCGGGTCTGTCTTCGCTAATAACAAGCAATCCAAGCAACTTTGATGAAATTAAACAAAGAAAATGAATCCCAATGAAGTCTACAATCGTTTGAAAGCTTTATAAGCATAAAAGGAAATTGTCAGTTAGATAAATGTGATAACAGAATTATTGGATTATATGGTGGACGTTTTGGTGAATATAAAAATGTTAAATTTATAGTAGGTCTTAAAGTTCTCCTCTACTGACATTCGTGTTGGATAGAGTCATTCACTTATGACTGTAATTTTAATTTATATTCTGTACATCTATGGTGAGCCAAAAGCAGTTAATCGCTTCTTGTACGTTTATTCTTAAGTCTTTAGTGGAAGTATACCATTAGACATACAAACATGATTGGGGTTCTAGAAATTCCATGCGAAGAGGAACCTATGAATAAAGTACAGATGACAAGTCAGAAGAAAATTAATGGATTGGGTCGGTGTACGGTTGTTGTTAAGGAAAATTTTGTGCAAATGACAAAAAGTCGACATATTACTAGTTACTAAGAAAGTACTTTGGAAATGTGATGTTCAGTATTTGTTTGTCGATACACAGCCTGGTAGGGGGAATGACAATTAGAAAGCAAGGATCCTCTATACTCTTGCTACTCTACTCTTTTACTTTATTTCTCTATTACTATTTTATTTTTAATCTGATTTATGCAAGTTCTGCCTATTCATTGCAATGTAAAATTTGGCCTTAGTTTAAGTCAAGATCCATGTGATCTACTTTAAGGTAATTCTAGCTAGTTTTAGAACTACCGACACTTAAGACGAAGTTATTCCTACCAAAATCTGTCAAATGACTGGTCTCTAACAAATATACAATAATAAAATTTTTTTATAGATATTACAAATGGCGGCAGTCTTATCGTTATTGCAGTACCTTATTTGACATAATTTGCCTCAGTATGTGTAATTTATACAGTAATGATGAAAATATAGCCCGAATATCCTTCTTTGTTTTATAAATTGTTGGGAGTTCCCTTTTGTTTCCGTGTATAGTGCCAACCAATATGGTTTTTTTTTTTGGTTAACAATTTAGATGCCAGCGGTAAGCTTGTAAAAAAGTTGTCAGTTGTTATATTCCTTCTTTTCATAGTGAATGGTTCGGCAAGTTTGAGCGGGGCGAATTCATTTAGAGGCTGTGATGTTATTCGTTTCTCATCTTTTCCTAATTAAGGAAACCCTCAATGTATTTAATCCCAACATCAGATGCTAACCAATATTTGATATCAAATTTGTCGGGCTTATTCGCAAATGTTGGTAGAAGTTGTTCATTAATTATAATATTTGGTCCTGGTTTGTATCAATTCATACTATTTTCAAAAAAACTATCTCATACCGCTAATAGGCAGGACAATCATTTGTACTCATGGTGTTTGCAAAGAACTTGGGTTCCCATTTTGTGTTCCATAAATATCAATATTTTAAATTTTTTGTTTTGTATGCTCCACATAAAACTTCAATGAAAGCTTTAAATTTTGTTTTTGTCAAGCTCCATTTTTTACCCAAAACTTGTGAGGCTTCTAATTCCGTGCAAGATCTTATATGATGAAAAATATTGTAATCGATTACTAAGAAAAATGCAGTACGTACTTCACCTTTCATAATATTTTTTTTCTTGTAGTTTTTTCCAACAAGTTCCGTTTGCAGCAATTTCATTTTGAATATCTTGTCGTATACTTTCATTTTCATCTTTCGAGCTTGAAAGCACTCGGGTACGCTTTCTTTTACGAGAATTTAAAATATTTTCGAATTCACTATCACTTTCTCAGGACTCTTGGACATTTTCTTCGTCTAAAACCTCATTACCATTACGTTCGCTATTAAAAATTTTTTCTTGGGTACAGCATAATTCATTTTCAATAACTTCCGATTCACATTCGTTGTCATAGAGCTCATTATCTTCAATATCGGAGCAATGCATTCCTATATTTTTCAGGATATCAAGGCTGCAGCTATTTTCGATAATTTTGCCGTTTTCAGCGCTTATAAAAATACAATTTATTATAATTTACATAACTATTGTATTATTGTTTATTATATTATCATAAAACGTAAGAGCAACTAAATATATTTTCGAATGAATGTGGACATGAATGCATTAGGTTTTGTATTAGCATTATGATCGATTCTGATTTTTCCTGATAATTATCACCATTATATTGAACGATACGCAAGAAAAATTCCAAGAAACTTGAAAAAATTTAAATTGCAGGATTTTTTACATTTTGACTTGTGTGGTAGTTCTGTTAATGTTAATGTCGGTGTTAATGTAACTTTAATGTGTTCAATAAGTAGTTAATTAAGCAAATAAGATAACCTACATATAATAATAACAAAAATTGGAACGCGTCTATATAAATGCGCAGCCCAATTACATGTGGTGCATACGGCGCCGAGACTTCACCCATTTAGCCGAATTTATGGAGGTCGCCAGCGATTTGGAGGCGATTCCGACGGGCAACACGTCACGAGAAGCCCCCAGAGAAACACATCGAGAGTTCCAGCAAGGCGCCCGACGCCGCGATCTGCCGAACAACGGGGCGTGGCCACCGGTCGACGAGGCGTACGAACCATTAACTGCTGTCAACAGGGAAATTAGCGGGGAGCCCACCCCCAGCGAGAGATGGGCCCCAAGAAGAACTTGCCTCGCGAAGGGTGGTACCCCGCAGACTAGAAAATGTATCGTGTCCACAACTCGCAACGCTACGAGACAGGTCCACCGCGAAACAAAAGCCAAGCCCCACCCAGCTAAGTCAACGAAATCATCCGACATCGACCCCCTGTAACGAGAACCACGACATGCAAATGCAACGCCCTCCTTGGCGTCGAAAGTTAATAGCGGCAGTCCACTTCTCAACGAAGCAATTTCAGATACCCCACTACGCAGTAATAGGAAGCAGTAACCTCAAACCCACCAAAGTCTACGCCTGTCACGCAATGAAGCCCGCAAGAATTGGAATGCATTATCCGAGCCTACAACCAGTCGTCCTCAGCTAAGTCAGCGGTGTCTTGCCTTAAACTTCATCTCACATCTAGTAGAGTGGGAGTCCTCAGCGAGACCAGCCACGCGCGCCTGATGAACAGCCTAGCGTGCGATTTCGAACAGTCAGTACCCATTACAAATCTCTGCTCATAGCCAACCATTTGTGAATCCCATAGTGGCTAACGTTGGCATACAACACGTACCTATCCGCCAACGGTCCGACATTCCAATGTCGAAAAGTTGGAGATATATGAGCGCCGATGGCACCTCCTGTCAACAAGAGACAGACGCCACGTCCGATGGCACGGATATACGCTTCGAGAACAACCGGACCAGCGCAAAGATTATAATCGCGGGTAAGCGGGTCAGCGCCACAGTGGACACTGGCGCAATCATTAGTTTTAGCGCCGAAGCTTTTGCACAAGAGATCGAGAAGACCTGCAGAAGGGACTCGTACCGAGTGAACGTTCACCTAGCTAATGGAACCGTGTTAGAAACTAACAGCGAGTTTACCTGCCCTGTGCAATTGGGAGACCGGACCACAAACCTTCCTCTTCTCGTTATGTCTGGGGCTACTAAAGCGGTGCTACTAGGACAACATACCTCAAGGCGTTTGGAGTCAAACTTCAATGTCCGAACAAATTGGGTTCGTGCCGACCAAGCGGATCTCCAAGCCAGGTAACTACGGCCAAGCCTACGGCCGAGACGATCCGGACCGCGGCTCATAGAAAGGACGATGCATCACCCGACACCTCGCAAACCGCAACAAACAACCAATATACGACTAACGGGCCCCAACTCAGCGCCGAGGATGAACGACAATGCATCGAACGTATGCTGCGGCAAGAATTGCCCAAGTTTGCAAACTTGCGGGGATTTACCACCATCGCCGCACACAATATTATCATGAAGGATGACCGACCGTTCAAGGTGCGGTATGCCATCTGAAATGCAAGCAGTGATCAACGCTAAGGCCGACAAACTGATCGCAAATGGTCAAATCGAACCCGTCATGGAACCCCTATAACTCATTGTTCACGCCGCCACGTAAGAAAAACGGAACCTGGCGTATGTCTATGGACTTCTGCCTTTTAACCAGTAAGTCGATGCCCGATGCATAGACAGTGCCGAAAATTCAATGAATTCTAGATCGTCTACGCGAAGCCCGATACATCAGTAGCCTAGATCTCTAAGATGGCTATTGGCGAATCCCACTGGCGACAACAAGCAAGGCCTACACGGCATTTAAGACACCGAAGCGAGCACTTTTCCGGTGGAAGGTCATGCGAATTGGTCTACCTGCACCTGCGACGTTTTAATGAGCCCTAGACAGCGTGATTGGCCTCGACATGGAGCCACATGCATTGGGGTACCTGGACGACGTCATTGTCATCGTCTTAGCGAACACTTGGCCAACGTAGAGGTATTTCGTAGCCTAAGGCTCACCAATCTGTGAATCAACCTGGAATAGTGTGAATTCATCAAGAGGAAGCTAAAATATCTGAGCCATGTGATCACCGAGCAGGGGATCCAAAGGGACCCCGAGAAAACCTCGGCTATCGGCAAGATGCCAATAGCTACGAATGCCCGCAACATTGATAGGTTCCTCGACATGGTTTCGTGGTACCGCCGATTCGTACCAGAATTTGCAGCCCTCTCCAAGCCACTCACCGAATGAATGAAAAAGGAAAAATATTGACGCTGGACGAAAGATTAGGAGATGCGCTAGCGATTCTAAAAACTAAGCTCACTCAGAGCCCCATCTTGGCCTGCCCCAAAGTTACGAAGCCTTTCACTTTGCTGACGGACGCCAGCGACGCCGGATTGAGAGACGTCCTAACACAACAGATCTGAGGAGAAGAACGCACGATTATGTATGTCAGCGCCGAGAGAAACTACACGGCTACCGAGAAGGAATACCTTTCAACGAGTTTTCTGCCGATATTACTGTTTAAGCTGCCCACGATATAAACCGGTTCAGCAGAAACCTGCCGGAAAAATGTTAACGGCAGTGTCGGAAGAGCCTTGGTCGACAATCCTCCATCCAGTGGAAGCACCGATACTAGCCGTTCATCACGAACAGCTCAACATCGACCTCATTCGCAGAGGGGTGCAAGACACCCGATACCACCAAAGCCAGCAACCCTGACTTACAGGAGACGCTGGTCCGCGCACTGACGGCCCTGTCGCTCACCGAGCCGCGCATGCACGCCTCCTAACGTATCACCTCGCTTCGCCACAATGCGACACCCACAGCCGCCACGTTTCCTGCCATCGTCGACAACATAGCACTCCATGGCAGGGCACGAGCCCAAAAGGGCCAGCACATCTCAAAGCTCTTAAACACCATGCCATGAGCGGTGCAGCAGAGTTCCGGAGTTCCGCCGACGTGCGCGCCACCTCGAGGAAGTCTTATTCGAGGGAAAGCGACAGTGTAGGCTCATTTACAATTTCCTCCAAGAATAGAGGGTCGTCGAGTTGCCATGGATTCCCCCGAGCGGATTCGGATTTGTTACAGATGACTTGAAATATTGATCCGAAGCCAAAGACGGAGGATCTGTGTTAAAAAGTTAATAATTCGAACTGTATAACGATAAGTTAATTGGGATAAACTTCCATGACACTCGCCGAGTGGTATTAAGATTAACTTCGCTAAGTAAAGCTGGTGACGAGTATACACCATTGACCAATTTAAGGAGACATTAACTGCGAGTCTCCGTTTATAAAAGGTTAGAAAGGTCTTCAAACTCACAAGACCGCCTGTTGATATTTGTCAGAGTACCTCCAGCTTTATTAGCCATCGGGCGTGTATACAGATGGAAATATAGTCGTGGATCAAATCCAACATAAAAATTTGTGAAATACAAAAAATGATTCCCCAAATATCCTATACGTAGTCAGTGTAGATGAGGTTCTACTACGACCATATGTTACATTTCCACAGATTAATAAAAATGGGATTTACCCTGCTCCAAGCTAGGTTTCTAAATTTTGCTTCAGATGATTTCGTCCTCAAATCAAATTCAGAAACAGCTTTACAGAAAAAGGCGCGAAGGCGGCTACCCTGTGGGACTCCGGATAAAACCACTATTTCTCTAGATAAGGTACTATTGTAAGTCACACGTTGAACAAGTCCTTTGAGTTAAGAAGGGAACTATTTAACCAAGATATCCGGAAAGCCATATAAAGTAAGTTTAGAACTGAACAAGTCAAGATAACCTCTATGAAAATTTTTGAGATCAGTGTAAAACTTTTGGAAAACCGTTTAAAGATGTAACACGACTATTGTTACAGATTTGTTACTCTGTATCTATTAGAGGTAAAACCATTTTCACTTGGTGAATTAGTGGTATTAAGTAAGCGTAATAATGGCTTTGACACCAAGTTTTCAAAGAACTTAGGTGGCACACGAAGCTTGGGTATATTCCTATAGTTTTCTATGCTGTTTCTGCAGCTGCTTTTTAAATTGGGAATAATAAAGCTATTTTTCCATGATGCTGGGAAAATGCATTTACTAGCGAAAGATGCTCTCGCAACAATTTGCGAAGATGCAAGAAGGTATGCCTTCTGAAAACTGGGAATTCAGAATAAAAAATGACGTTAGGATCTGGATTTAAGAGGGATGATTCGGGATAGACAGCGAAACTTAGTTGAAAGCATTGACGTGTATCATGACGCGACGCTGTAAGTAACCGATCGATGTGAAATACCTATATCTGATTTGGAACTTTTGGATATTTCAAAAATCTACGCCGGGAAGTTCTTAAGAAACTCTTGCATATCTAAATTACATCTGTAGTGTGTTTATACAAATTGGAATTAAGGTATGAGCTCCTAGATGAGAGTTAAGTAGATCTAGGTTCACTAAATTCAGTGTTCGCAACGTTCCCGAAATTGAAGGAGATAAGCAAGATAATGATATAGTTATTGAGATTAAAACACTGACTTATTACAATTGCTCAAAGAACGGTCATGGGTTCAGAGACGGCCTAGCAGATACGCGTATTTTGTTACGGTGGTAAAGCTCCGAATATCTTGAAGCCAATTTCTACTAAATGTAGCAAATCTTCAAAAAAATTGTGTGGAAAAGATCTAAATCGTTTGAGGCCCCCAAAAGCATATCAATTTTGCTCTTAGTCTGCGCCTCAGTTCAAGCTAAACCCGCAGAGAGCTCGAAAGTGTCACTGAATGGTCAGTCCGAAGTAATTCAATTAGATAATCATGATTTTCGCAGTGCATCCGAAATCTTTCCTTATAGGATTCTCAAACCTAATCATCACTTGAATACATTAAAATCAAGGATAGAATTTTTAAGCTTTTTCTGTTCTCCCGTTTTAGAAGACTACTAATCTTTCATACCAGTCATTCAGCTATCAATAAACCTATTAAAAGAGAGACATTTTCCTATATCATCTAAAGAAAAAATCTTCTATTTGCAGAACTTGGTAAAATGCTCACTCTAGGAGTTATTGAGGAATGTCAAAGCTCTTGGCCTTCGCCTTTTACATTAATTATTAAGCCACAAAAGGTTTATTCGGATTCTGCTTAGATGCCCGAAAAAGGAGAAAAGCTACGGTCAAAGGCGCTCATCCTTTACCACTAGTTGATGAGGTATTGAGTAAATTACCAACAGTTGAATATATCACAAATCTTGACTTAAACGATGCCCTCTGCTAAAATTCCCTAAACGAAAATTAGAAACAGAAGACGGCCTTCACAATGCCTGGTCGCCCATTATATCAGTTCGTGACAGTGTTCTTTGGGTTGTGCAAGCCACCACAACGTATGGGCCGATTAATGGGTAAAATGACTCCACCTCGACTTTATTTTAATGTTCATTTAATGAAAATCTCCAAACATTGTCTGAAATTTTTTTGTGTGTACGGTAAACCAATTTAAGGATTAATGTTGAAAAGGGTAAGTTGCCACAAGAACAGGTCAAATATTTGGGACATATAATAGGTCATGGCACCATCCATACAGATTCTGACAAAGTTGAGGCTATTCGTGACCATCTGTTGCCAACATCTGTCTGCCAGTTATGAAGATTTTTATGTATTTGTAGTTGTTGCCGTCGTCTTGCATGGAATCTCACAACTCTGTTGACTCCACTGACTGACATGTTAAAGAAAAAGGATACATTCAAAGGGTCAGAGAAAGCAAAACTCTCTGTTGAAAACCTGAAAAAACAATTATTGTCTACACTGTTATTAGCTAATTCAAGTTTCGAGGAACATGGAGAAGAGGTCCCAATTGCTTACATTTTTCATGAACTTAATAATGCTCCGACAAATCATTCAATATATGAGCTAAAATGTTTCGCAGCCTTTTTGGTTATTCAAAAGTTCCGATCCTATGCATGCATTTGAAGTTATTGCAAATCACGCTTCTCTTAAGCGCTTAATGTCTAAGAAGAATTTTCACGGTATATTGGCTACTTGGTCATCGAAATTGCAAAGTTTCAGCTTCTTAATTAAGCATCGAAAAGGTACTCAATACGTTATGTCTGATTCTTT